AGGCTCCGCGGAGCTTTAATTCTTCCTCTTATTATTTTTCACAAATATGGAAAATACATCTTCACTTTTTCTATATGAAAACCTTATGTTATTTTCTTGGTCCTAAAACATAAAAGAAGAAATTAAATTAGCAAAGGAAAAATTAGTAAGAAGCAGAAGAAGGTGCTCTGCTTAGAAGAGAATGAAAGTTAACTCGTTTTTTGCTTGTTTATATGGAACGTGCTTTAAAAATGGCCACTGCCATTTTAAAACACGGTGGTGGCAGCATCATGTATTCTACTGTTTAGCTTGTCTGCAAAATAATAAGCTAAAATTTGCATGTATGCATGCGTTAAGTTAGTGCCAAGACATGCCCCAATTTTCAGATTGTTTCAAAATTTATGAAAATTTTAAAAATATTATCTATTTAAAAAATGTTTTAAAAAGTATTGTTTATTTAAAAAAATCAAATAAAATTATGTCTGGTTATGTCTGAGCTGCTTCAATTTTCTTTCAATTTAGTAATTAAGCTTGTTGCAATAAGCAATAAATCACATGATGAATTAAAATCATCTTAAAATGCGTGATTGTTTTTCTCTCTACCAAAAACGGGATGACATAAAACTTCGGTATCCATTTTATGTGCTTCACTTTGGAAATATAAAGTCTTCCAGTTCAAACGATAAACATGCATTAGAAATGAATGTTTGTTGATCTTTGAAAAGGCTCTCAAAACAACAATATTGTTATCATCACAACAAATCCATTTAAGCCAAATACAACAATGAATACTTTTCCAAGGAGCTGTGGAGTAAAATCCCATTAAGTATTGTTTGGGGATTTCCATTTCCTGAGCCGTGTTGCGTTTTTGTGCATGTTTGCCAAATGGAAAGAAGAAAAGAAAGAAAAAGACCCTTATGGGCTTCATGTGGGTTAAGACGACACCATCCTACACAATGGAAGCCGCCCACACATAACAATGGACCCAGACGACACCAACTCAGCTGCAGGAGGTTTTCAAGTCAAATCAAAAACATATTTTCGTTAGCGTTCAGTCACGCCTGTCCAGGTTTTACTGTCGGATATGGGGCTGCTCACATCCTGGCAGCGCCGGGCGGCCAACATGTTGACAGTGATGAATGGTTTCCCCTGATGTTTCCCTCCAACTCACTCACACTGCTTATTATTTTAAGAAGCTCCAGCAGATATTAGTTGGGTTTCATTTCAGAGGTTCCCCTAAAAACAGCTAGCATTAATATTTTATCTCGTTACACTTCCTCCTGTTTTACACTTCCCTCAGATTAGGGGAAAAAATTATTCCAAATACTAAAACAGTTGCTTACACTAAGAATAAAATCACCAAGTATTAAAAATAAAATGCTTCATTTCTCGTCTATTTTTGCACATTAAAATCATATTTTACACATATTAAATTTTAAGCTACAAAATGAACTAACCTGTTTATTTAGAATAATTTTTTCTTTTATGTATTTTTTTTTACTAGCTTAAATGTGACCTGTGATGCTTCTTTGAATATGTTAGGCTAGCTCAGTGGGCGATAAAAACATTTTCATTACATTTTTTGCACCAAATCATTCGTGCTGGAGCTCAGCCTGGGTTGCTAGGTAATGGGCTGGGCTTCACTGGGGTTGCTAGGTAACGGGCTGGGCTTCACTGGGGTTGCTAGGTAACGGCGCAGTGCCTGCTGATTTGTGACTTTCCGAAGGTTTTTGAAACATTTACTGCCAAAAACAGGCTAGATGTTTTTTATTTTTTTGCTTATAGAAGCAGTAAAAACCAAAATAAATGTACAGAAACGTGAATTTTGCATAACAGAGCCTCTTTAGATAGAAACTAGAGAAATGTTTTATTTGATTAGCAGAATCGATAAGATGAATCGACTACTAACATAATAATTTACAACAGCTCTAATGATAGCTGATATATTGGTTAAATATTGTTTTACATCTTCCTGTATATTCTGAGACACTTGCAGCACCTGAACAATAGTCCAGCTGTTATTTAAAGTCTATAACTCTTTGCCTCGTTCAGAAGAATGGAAAGTCTATTTTTACGGCGTATAAAACTGTTTTTCCTTACACCAGGAAGCGACTCCTGAGCCATGAACAGGGGAATTGTTTTCCACTTTATTCACACGGCCTCCAACTTCTGGGTTGCATTTGTTAGGCTTGTCACCGTCTTTCACTCCGACGCGTCTTTGATGGCCAGCAGATTTACGGGAGGAGCTCGGAGGAAGCAGCAGGTGATTCCAAACCCTTATTTCTGAGGAAACGTCTAAAGCGGCGCTAACCTGAATGAAGTAATCCTCTTCAGCTTGGAGGCTGGTATATCGTAGCCACACTCCTCCAGCACTTCCTGCCGGGCGATCTCCTCCAGCGACAGGTCCGGTTTGTCCACCAGGCCAGCGCAGAGCTCGTAGGTGACCCCCGCCGAGGCCGGGGGCCACGGGGACGAAGGAGAGCTCTCCTCGGCCGGGGCCGACTGGCCCTCTTGAGATTCGGAGGCGTCGCCCTCTTCGGTCTTCTCGGCGCCCTGAGAAGTCTTCGTCTTGGCCTTTTCCCACTCACACATGTAAACAGCTGCAGGTGCGAGACAGCAGAAGATTGATGGATATGAATTCATCAAACTGTGTTATATTTAAGGTTAAAAATGTAACCGTGTTCTCGGTTGTGGTTGTTTTCATCAAAACGAGATAAAAAGAGGGGATAAATCACGGCCCAGACTTCCTTGAATTTAAAGCGCTGCAGCGGTTTCTGATAAAGAAGCCGATTAAACATGTCGTCGTTTTAAAAGTGAAAGTGCACACCGGATGCTCAAAAGTCCAAATTTAGATCAGTGACAAAAAAATAAAAGGTACCTGGACGGAACTGCTTGACGAGGACAAAACAGTGAGAGGTGGTGTTGAAGAGCAGCACAGATACACTGCAAAATACAGGAAAAGTCATCGTTAAACACGCCAACATTTCATTTCAGGAGCAGGGATTCATTAGAAAAGCTAAAAGCATCTTATGTTATAACATCCCTTCAAAAACAGCTCAGCATTTTCAGGCTTTTTCTTTGCAGTTTTTAGGGTTTAAATGTCATCTAAAGCCAAGTTTCCCACATATTTTGCATTTTCTTGTTGAATCTATTTGTTTGCATCTGATTCCACGTTGGAAGCTCAAATCTTTGCAGCTGTAAGTCAGACTGAGGAGTTTTTTCTTTTCAGGATAACGATGTTTAACCTTACAGTCAAACCAACATGCAGGGATCATCAGATTTCAGGCTTGATTTTATCACTTAAAGCAAGTTGTAGCCATTACAACTCCCTTTTAACATCAGGGGTGTCCAAGTAACTAATAACTTGTTTTTGGTCAATAATTTATTAATATTGTTGAATTTTTTTCTAGTTCCACTAGCAGATTATTTCACTTATAATAAATTTTCCCCATGTTTTAAGCTAAATTATTGACTTAAAACAAGCTCCTATTTCTTCCTGAATGAGGTAGTTTTGACTAATTTCAAATGCACCAATATATTTGCATTAGAAACTAAACCAAGATGTAAAATTTAGTGCTTTCCAGTGTAAGATTGAATCCCAGAACTGGTTTTTAAAAATAAAACAATTTGCATAAAACACTGCTCAGACAACAAACTTTATAAACGTCTTCATTAAGCTCCATCAGATGACAAAGGTTTCCAAATTTATCTTCATATTGGAGTTTTCCTGTTCTAAACTCCTAAAAATAAAACCGATACTAAAATAAATGTCATTAGCCGGACTAACAATACTAAAATAAGAATCGGAATCTGGAGAGCAGCAGGTCGCATCGCTGGGATTTCAACTCGTCGCAACCAGGATATGGAAATAAAACTAGAGCGAGGGTCAACGGTCACTGCCGTGTCTGTCTACTCGTGTGTGTGTGTGTGTGTGTGTGTGTGTCGGTGAAAACTTGAAGCCTAGGGTCGGCGTTGGGAAAGCGGATGCGTCTGAGGCGGCAGGAAACCCTGCCCCGTCTTTCCCATGCTCAAAGGGAAACCAGGAGATTGCAGTGAAAAGTTTCTAACAATTCCTGAGACGATGATGAACTTCTCTTTGCATTTTTAAATTTCAGATGATGAAAAACACGTTTCGCGCTCCGTGCTCGCCAAAAATATACCTCATGTCAGCTAAATGTTTGTCTACAGGACAGATGGGTCTGCAGTTTGTGACACTGCCGTGGATAAGACAACAAAAAAGCGAGTGGGGGATTGCTGTGACTGAATAGACACTCAGTCGGGAGATAATCTGCATTTTTATTTATACTAACTGAAACATGTGGAGACGTGTTTTAAAGCCCCAAAACAGACATGAAGAATAGCAGGTAATACTTGAACTATAAAGCTGTTTGCCTGCAGGTTTGTTTGCATCATGTTTGTTGCTTCACTGCAAAAACACAAAATCTAACCAAATATCTGTATCTAGTTTCTACTGGGAATATTTTAGTTCACTTAATATAAGACAAAACTAACTTAAACGTACATTTTTAGCAAAACAAAAAATCTTGTTTTAAGTCAATAATTTCTTAATATTGTTGAAAAAGTACCAGATTATTTCACTCAAGACATTTTTACTGTATTATAAGTGAAATAATTTGCCAGTGGAACTAGAACTGGGTTGCTAGGTGACGGGCTGCGCTTGGCTGGCGTTGCTAGGTGACCAGCTGGGCCTGGCTGGCGTTGCTAGGTAACGGCACCAGTGGAACTCAAACTTTTTCATCAATATTAAGGACTTATTGAACTAAAACAAGCTCCTATTTCTTCAATGCAAATAAATTCAAATTCAAAAATACTTATTAATTCCAAACAGAAATTAAATAATGATAATTTTCTTGCTGAATATCTACTTTTAAGTTAGTTCTGTTTTATTTCAAGTGTACCAAGATATGAGCACTAGAAACTGGACCAAAATGTCTTTGCAGTGCATATCCATGCGTTTCAAATATCTCAATAAATGAAGACCTGAAAATAATAGTCGTCATGAAGAAAATAGAAATAAATATAAATTACGTTAGACAATAGACGATATTAGACACAACATTCCGGTTCGGCCTGGACAGTTTTTACAGAATAGAAAAGGAAAACTTTGTCTCTGCTGATAATTGCGAATCTTTTGATGCTTTTTAAAAGGGTTTCACACCAGCAGCTTCAGAAACTCGGCTTCTTGCTGCTCCACTTCCTTTCTCAATCACTTCTTTCCTCTCTGCCACCTCGCTGAAAGCACAGAAACAAAAACAACCTTTTCCACTTTGCTGGCTTCCCAGAAGAACATGAGAGCTGCACTTGTGACCAACGTTTTAGGTTTTAGTTTTTTAGTTTTCTCTTCATAAAAATGTCGCTCGCTGATGGGAAGCAGCCAGAGAAACCCTTAAACTAACTTCCAAAAACACAACATATTGGAAAAATGTTATTGTTTTTATTAATATTTTTGTTACATTGCAAACACAAACGTCAGTACATTTTCTTGGTATTTTTTAATTTTGTTTTACTGACATCATTGTGTTGCTTTTTCCTGAAGCTAATCAGAAATTTCTGGCCAGTTTCAGTTCAAACAGCAGCCCGACGCACCACTCAGATCGCAGCTTCAGTGTTTCTCCTTGACTGAATAAAGGGCAACACTGGTGGTTGCCATGGTGACGCTATACCCCTGACTGGGCCGGGATTGGATTTCTGAGATCAGTATTTCCTCATTGATCTAATCGATTAGCCAAATATAGACACTGACAGACAGATGGACCATCTAGTCGCTTTAAAGTCTTTGTAGCTCAGATTTAGACTTTTATAAACGGGAGGTGCCGTCGCATAACTTATAAATTTTAACTTTAATTAGTTATTGATTAACTTTGGGCTCTGATGTCGTCTCCAATATCTCCAAAGACTTTCTGCTTCAGCTTAAACGTGATTTAGGCAAATTTAATGCTTAATTTGGCCTAAACAAAGCACAGCTCTTGGACTTAATAGGAACTTAGCAAACAATTTGTTCAACTTAAAAAGAGAAATCTTTTATGATTTAAAAAAAAATACATTTTTGTAAATCTCTTCAGTAACAGAAGAAGAACATGGGTCCATGTTTATTTTACTTATTAGGCCAAAAAGTTGGAAAAAAGAAACCAAAGTCGACCCCAGGACCTGGAGAGTTTTGGATAAATTTCCATTTTGCAAGTTTATCTAATTTATCCTGCAAAGATCTTCGTTTTGCAAGCCAAAACATTTCCAATGTTCCCTGCATCACGAGGTGACTTACTTTAAATGTCACATGTGTCACCTAAAGGTCAGTACAAGGACTGCAAGTAAATATTACACTGTCTTCATTTCTCCTAAAGCTTCACATATTGTATTAAACGATTCAAAATTCTGAAAAGGAAACTATTTTTAAAACCCTTTATCTGCATAAACAGAGCTTTTATAATGAAAGTACACAAACAGGGAGCAATAGTTGTAATTAACATCTCCTTAAATAACAACCTAACATCACAGTTTAAAAAAATACATAAAATAATGATTATGATCATATTTTTTTAGTAAAAAAAAAAACACAAAGGCTGTGACTCTGGTTGCTCTGGAAAACTAATAAGAATAAAGTCAAAATTTAAAGAAGTTGTAATTTGATTGCAGGGGAACTAAAGCATCTAAAACTGGGGTGTCCAAATTGCGGCTCCGGGGCCATTTGTGGTCCTTGGATTAATTTTGTGCGGTCCCGGTCTGCAATTCAATAATGACACAAATTTGGCACTCCAACACTTATTGTAATTATTTTAGGATGAGATTTTCTGTTTCATGTTTATATGTTCTTAAAAACAACACAAAGAATTTTTCTATTTTACGTTTTTACTCAAAAACAGACCCATCCATTACATTTGGCTGAAGAAAAGTCTTACTAAAAACATCTTATAGAGACTTAAGAAATGGAAATTAAAAATCCCAAAAAGGTAAATCACTGGAAATATTTAGGAAAACGTAAAATAGACAGAAATCATTTCTAATGGAAGAAAAAAAAAAGTAAAATTTTGGCCTCTGAATACTTTCAGTTTGGGGATTTCTACAAAATTTAAATACACAACTTTTAAATGCTTCTTCCTTTGAAAAAGACATTCCAGCACTGCAAACATAAATCAAACTCAATTCAACAGAAATCCAGAAACAATCCCAGGTTCCTTTCCCTGCAACAACCCAGCAGGATTTCCTCTTTGTGAATAGCTACCTGTCGCCAGGGGAAATCTTTTGTTAGAAACACAGGTTCGACATTTACCGCCTTTCTCTCTGGGGGGCCGTTTCTTTAACAACAATCTCTGTTTGGGGTCAGTAGTGCAGGAAAGAGGCTAGAAATGACCTGAGAGTGACCTCAGGGCATCACTGGGGCTTTGGCACCCAAGTGTCAGATTTCTGTTACAGTTTAGAGTTTTATTACCGTTTTATTTCATGTAAAAAACACAAAAAAGCAGGTGCAACGTCCCCTGAAAACAACCATCTTTAACTCAACCATTCAGCCATAAAGCAGTAAAAATACCAGATTTATTAAAGTTGCATTTCAGAGAGAATCAGGATTTAAAAATGTTTTATTTAGTAAACTGTGTAGCAGAAAAACTTTCTAAAATTAATCCAAACTAACAGGTATGTTTATTTCCAGATTACAGAGAGCTACATGCGGTTCCCAAAGTGAAGGCTGGGGGCCGTTTATGGCCCTGGCAGTGATTTGGCGCGGTCCACCAACTGCAATTCAGATATGATACAAATTTATAATTTGGGTAAATTTATATCGGGCGTGATTTTCTTATAACGGAAAGTGTTCATCTTTTTATAACTAAGCTTTTATAATAAGAAGAACCAAGTTCATCCAAAGAATTTTACTAAAAAAACCAACGTTGCTGCACACAAATCAGCTTTTATCTAAACTTGGCTAAATATGGCAAACGTTCTGAAAGAAAATGAACAAAATCCTGTTTTAATAACAGAGTGAATTTAATAATTTCAGCTAAAAGTCTTAATACAAAAACGTGCAAAATCCTGTTTAAATTTTGGATTTGGAATAAATAACACTCGTTTCCTACAAAAAAAAAAAAATATTTGCGTGATTTAATTTTGATTTTGTACATTTTCTTAGCCTGTAAGTAGTTTAGACTATTATTTTTGATAAAAAGTTTGAACACTGGTTTAAAGTGAAGCTTGAAGAGCTTCTTTTAATTAATGTTTCTTAATTAAAAGAACAAGCATGTTTTAGAGCTTTACAAGCACCGACAGTGACGTTTTCAGCACAATATTTAAACGGGACGCCAGTCCCAAACATGGCCGACTCATTTCCATCTTTGCGAACCGAGGCAGCGTTGAGCATTCGACAGGAGAAAATTCAGATTTTACCTGTCGTGACTCTGCATAAAGTCCCAGGATTTCTTTGTGCCATTCTGTGAAGAAGAAAGAAAAAAAAAAAAAACAAGAATTAGAGTTTATGAAGCAAAATAACAGATTTCTGAATTCAGCTCTTCATGGTATTTTCTGCTTGTTTTATTGTTTGTAGTGAGTAACAGGATAGTTGTGGAAAAAGGAAGACTTGATGTTCAGATTAAGGTTAATTTCATTTTTCTGAGCGTAAATTAGAAATTCCTTGGAAAGTGAAACTTTTCATGTCTGGAAGTGGAAATGATAAATTCCTCATGACTGAAACGTGACGCGTCTCTTCCTGCCTGCAGCGACGGAGACATCAGCTTCTGTTTTAATAGTTTACAGTCACATCATCTTCATCAAATCACCAGGCTGAAAGCAAACACTTATTTCTGTTGATTTCCAAGATGGCGCCTGCAAACTAAATATAAATGACGGAAAAACTATTTTAGTTGTTTATATTTACATTTTTTGTCACTTTAACCACAAATTCAAGCAGCTTATCAATTAATACTATATGTAAGAAATGACTATAAAATAGAATTAGACAGTATCCACTTTTTGATACCATTAAAGCTCATTAAACTTAGTAACACTGGGGTTTACGGTATTACAATCTGCTTAGATATTTAGAATATGGGTTTTTACTAGTCCACATATTCAACTCATTATGATTATCCATTTCTAAATTTGTCTTAAGGCAAAAAGCCATCAAAATTATTTGTTTTTGTCTTCAAAACCAAAAAATAAAGATTCCAAAAAGTGTAAAATTCTGCAGTTTAATTTTGAGCAGTCCAGGTAACCCAGATTTTAAACTAGAGAGGAAATAATTCATTAAAAGAGTCACAAAAAACAGAGAAACAGCCCTTTAGTTTAGCAAATGTAGGACACTAACCTAATCCTAATGTTAGCAGCTATTGGTGCTAACAGTTCTAACTTGTTAGCATTGTTAAAAGCTAATGTTAGCATTTTAGCAGCATCATTAGCATCTATCATTAGTAGCTATAATTAGCATTGTTAGCAGCTATAATTAGCATTGTTAGCAGATATTGTCGTTTCTCCATGTAAAACGAGGCATACTGCTACACAGCAGGCGTCAACAGGAAGTACTTTCTTGAATGTAAAGTATTTAATTTACCTACATACGTCTTACATCAGAGGTTTTTAATGATACAATTTGAAGCAACTGTGCTGCTATTTTTGGATTTCCTTCAAACACATTTAATATCAGACTGAAGGTGTTTGTACAATCTGTCACCTACACCATGAATATTTAATATCAAGGAATATCATTAATTTATTTTCAGATTTAAAAACAAAATGGAAAAAAGACCTTTGTATTTGAAAATGCAATTAGCACAAACCACAGAGAGTTTACCCTTAAATATATGATGCATTAATAACCCTGTAGCTCCTGTAAATTCAACACTAATTTAGCCGATGTTGCTCTTTCCACATTGCATGCCATCATAAAAAGGGTAAGTTAGCCTACATTTTCAATGCCTAAGGAAATATGACCTTGATTCATATTTAGGCTACACCTCCTCTCCTCCCACAAGCTCAGTGAGACGCAGCGAAGAACGTTTTACCAGAGCAACACGAGACCCGGTGTGAGGCTGTGGTTCAGCGACACCTGAGAAAACGGCGCGAGTCGAGCTGAACGAGGCCAGAGAATCAGCCTTCCAACAATGACTAAATCACATGAAGAAGACGACGGAGGACAAGCAGAGAGAGCAGTGAGCCCTCACTCCCAGCCATTAACCCAAGGACAAGACTGAAGTCTTAGCAGAACTACGGACTCTACCAGAACGCTGCTTCGGCGTTGCAGCCAGTAACGCAGCACCCCAACACCCCAAAGGTAGCAGCTCAGGGCGTTCAGAACCACCGGGCGACTTCTTCTTTATTCCTGGTTTCTGCTAGAAAACAGTCAAGTTTCTCTTATGGTCCAGTCAAATCCAAGCCATAACGCCATAAATACCCAGATTAACGTTTTTAGCAAGCTTTATCTGTTATTTTACATCAAAAAGTGTCTGTAACCGTTTTTTTCCTGTTCGTTTTTATTTGAACTGAATTTAATCATATTTTCCTAAAACTCCTGTCATGTCAATAAGATGGTCCAATTCCTGCAGAGAACATGAAGCCAAACCTCAGAAACCCGACATCAAAATGGATCTGAACCAAAACCATCAAGCATTTCAATGCATGAGTAACATGAGGTACATTGATACCAACAGAAGGAGTTTCATCCATCAAGCAAAAAAAAAAAAACCACACACACCAATTTAATGGCATTTTCAGAGATATTTGGGGGTCAGGCGTCAAACTCAAAAATAATTTACTTTTCCAGAATTTACTTAATTCAAATATGCTCAAGCTAATTTCACTTTTTTGTTTAAAAAAAAAAGGTTTTAGTTGTAAACTACATTTGTAATACAAAAATTATGACAACTTGACCAAAACTGCCAAGATATGAAATATTGAAGTGGCAAATGCACTTGCTACAAATTCCAGGTCTTCGTTGTCTTGAATGTATTTTTTTATAACTCAGACTGCAGCTGGAAAAGTCCAACACAAACGAGTCGGAACCAAACCAAGTCAAGTTGATTAGTAAAGAAAATGTGATGAAAAATGACCAGAAATAGAAATTCAACTTGAATGGGTCAAATCCTTGTTTATACTGTTAAAATAATCAGTTTTCCAATTAACTGATCAATCAAGTCCAAACACGTGTTTTTATCAGGTTTGTCAGTTTTCTGGTTAATCTTGAGGCTTGTTTTGGTATGCAGGAAATTGAAGCTTTATTTTTTTAGTAAAATGGTTTTCTACTAATGAAAACATTATAATAAATTATATGTCTCTGATCTTTATAAAAACCCAGAGCCTTGATAGTGTTTACTGCAGTATGAAAATAGCAGAGCTTACATTTTTCAGTTTTAGTTAAATTAGCCGTTTGTGTCAAACATTGATGCACAGAACAAAGATGGGAGTTTTGTTTCTCAGCATGGTGAGATTTCAAGACGTGAAGTCGACGGGATTGTAGAAATGTCCAACCAATCCAAATAATATCAATTAGACATATTCAGTTTTGATCAGAATAAATCTAATAAGTGTGACTACATTCCCAGGCAGGTTGTGAGGTGAAACCAACCCATTTCCTCTCTTCTTTCTCTGGTTTGCAGAGCACACAGATGGCGGGGTTTCCCTCATTACTTGGGCCACTTGCTGAGAGAGGAGGGCGGGAAGAGCGCGAACGGCCCAGGGGAGACCGAGAGCCGCAGCCGAGATGGATTACGACAGAGAGATTAGCCCGTGGGGAGAGACGGAGGGAGAGACGGAGGGAGAGACGGAGAGAGGACAGGCAGCATACATGGAAATAATGCAGCCTTTGAAAGGCACCTGTGAGAACGGCCACTACAGGGAGGGATGCACAGGCTTGATCTTTAGGTACTTAAAGTTTAATTACCGTCTCTTAAACTCACCCTCACACGCCTGACAGCCGTGGCAGAGAAAAACCTCGAATGCTGTCCTCGAATACAACAGCACTTTAAATTTCTCCTCGTGTTTCAGCTGCAGTCTCATAAAAAGCTGTTGTAGATATATTTAAAAAATAAAAATAAAAAGAGGAGTAAGTTTTTGCCAAAAAATCTCAGAGATATTCTAGATTTCAGAAATTGAGAAATTTCAATTTCAATCAAAATTTTTGATTTTAGCAGAATCTTGACATTTCAAACTCTGAAATTTTCAAGTTTTTTCAGAAAATTTCTGATTAACCTCAAAATTTCTGAGTTTTTTTTTTCTTGAATTCTTTTTACTTCTCAAGGTCAGACATGTCCTTGTTTTTGTAGAAAATGTCTTAGATTAATGTAAAAATTTCAGATTTTTTTCTTTTTTTGTGTAAAATTTCAACTTTTTAAACTCAGAAAATTCCAAGTTTTTCCAGAATATTGTTGAGATTAATCTCAACATTTTTTAGATTTTTTTCTAACATTTTTTTTACTTTGCAAGTTCAGAAATGTCCTTGTTTTTTCTATGCAATTTCTGGGATTATTCTGAAAAATGTCTGATTTTATTTTTCAACTTTTGAAATATTTTAAGTTTTTTTTCCCCCAGAAATTTTCTGAAATTAATCTCAAACAAAATGTTCTAGCAACTTTTTTTTTTACTTCTCAACCTCAGAAATGTCCTTGTTTTATTTAGAAAACTTCTGACTTTTTTGGTGAAAATGACCTTTTTTAATCACAATGGCCCTGATATATACTGTCATATTTATCACAGGATAGATTTATTACTAACGCTGTCTCACATAAACATCTACTTTTGTCTGAATATATCACTTTAGTTAAAAACTGATCACACATTCTCTGAAACAGACACACTATACCAGTTTGGTTTTGCGTAGACAAACAGTTTCAGATGAATCACCGAAATCATTATGATGAATAAACTGGGGGCAATTATGCAGCTCTAAGTAGCAACTTGTGATTCTGTGACAGTGCCGGGTAAGACGGATAAGAGGGGTTTCCTGGAGTCAACGAGGGACAATCACCTGCTTTGTAGAGGGAGATGAGACAAAACACCTCTAGACATCAATGAATCAGAGAGCCTCTTGCATAAAGCATTACCCACTTCCACGGTTTGCGTGGAAGCGGGAGCAGATTTGGTCACCGGCCCAGCTGCAGATGTACAGGCGACGAGCATAAAAAGATTGGAGGACACACTCTGTAAAGGAGACAGAAAAGCGTTTGTCTCTGAACAGCTCTTCCTGAGCTCCAATGGGAAAACAATGAAGATGAAACGTTGGCAAGAACAAGAGAGCCCAGCATCATTTCTCTCTGTTATCCAACTGCTGTCTTCTCATTATATTCAACCCTTACATCCTCTGTTTTAGCTCATCAAACTAAATATCTCCTCAAAAACCCTTTACTTTGTGCAGCAATGACACAAAAAGACTTCAATCATCCCTGCTGAAGGCTACCAACTTAAACTGATACTCCTGTTCCTTTTCCATGAATATTGGAAGAAGGTAAAGCTCCACCAGAGACTTTTAGATCCAGACAAATGAACTTTTGGTTTTTCCCACAATGACGTCCAAAAACATGAAGGTTGAGATAGAAATAAAATAAATAAACACCGGATGTTGGCTCAAAATTGGTTTTAAAACAGCGCTCATTTCAGAAAACTTGCTAAGCTTTTAAGCATGGTTGGGTTTAGCAAGTCAAACGTCTACCCTGCCATGTTTTTGAGTTAAATTTTTTTTAAAGTTGGCAGGAAATTTGAAAATATCACTAGGTAGATGTGTGTTAATGGAAGACATTACTATCAATACCTAAATGACAATTATAAAGTCTTAAAAAATGCAATTGTGAAACCAGCCATTTCACCAAAAAGACTCTAAAAACCGATCTTTGCCATCTCTTTTCCTGGTGTATTAAAAAAAAAAACTATAGAGAATAAACAAACAATGCTTAGCCTGGTGGCCCGCCAGGCTTTTCCTGTGCCCCCACCAGGCTTAGCATTACTTATTTAAGTCTTATTAAAATGTTTGCATTTTTTAAGACTTCATAATTGGTGTTCAGGTGTAAGTCTTCCAATCTCTGAATAAGACATGTGATATTTTCCAAGTTTCATGTCAACTTTAAACATTTTTAACTCAAAAACACGACGGGCCGCTGGATGAATGACTGCACTAGCACCCAACCACTGGGCTTAGCAAGTTTTATGGGGGAAACGCTGCAAAACTTTAGGATTCCTTCAGCCAGCTGACTGGCAGTAAGCAGCAACAGGAAGGGAATGACCAAAACTCTATTTTTCTATGCTTTATTTGGAAATCTGAAAACTTAACCCTAAAGCCTTAATATGGACCTTGATGGACTCCCATCAATTCTTGTCCACAACTCAATACCAAGATTTTTAAACTACAAAGAAATGAGAAATCCCCTGAGCTCAAAAGCAGCAAATTAGCTAACTTAATTTGTGACTTAAAAACAGATTTATCCTGGACAGCAGCCTGTGTTTGTGTTTGTCTACTTCTCGCTTTGTTTGAGACCATACGGACACACAGACTTGAACTTGGCTTTCTTTCAGTGAGAGCATTCATTATTATACTGTACTCTGCTGTAATCCAGTGGCATTAAACTAACACAACATACTTCATTGATGCTTTATTATGCATAAAGAGGGTAAAAACAAAAGGCAGGCTATCTGTGAACACTCAAAATACATGATAATCAAGTGAAAAAACGTGGAAAGTATTTGAGTTTTCAAACACAAGACTGAGTTAGTTTGACATCTGAGATCAACAAGTCTCACCTGCGTCAAAATCCACATTTAAAACATTAAAAACAGCATCTGCTGTCGCATTAAACTGCAAAAACACTGAATTCAGCCAATTAATGTATAATGTAAAGCATGCGCTGCCGTTAACGTGATGCCTGGAAATTAAACAGCCCTCTGTGGGCTACCGTTAGCAATTAGCCTGTTAGCTTAACAGTCGCCAGTTTAAATCAAACAAACAAAAGGTGACAACTGAATCAACGCGAGTGCAACACTGAACTAAAGAGGTTGGATTTCCCCGGCCTTTTAATTTAATTTAATGAGAATGAGCAGAGATGCCAAAGGTCGGGTTTTTAGCCTTCCTCGTCTTAGCTTTGCTGTAGCTGCTAAATGAATGGGGGGTTGGGCTAGCCTCCAGCATCCTCCATCCTCCAACAAGACAACAGATAACTCACCTGATTGTAGAGCACCCGGAACGGCTTCAGGTATTCGGACTCTGTGCACGGAACGACTTCAACGTTATTAATCTCTTCCATAATGTACAGCTGGAGCAGGATTTGGGGGTTTACCGAAGCCGTCTCCGCACACTGACAGTGAAGGAATGCCTACGGAATCCGGGAAAGGACATACGAGCTCTGATTCGAGTAATCTAATTAAATCAAGTCAATTAGGTTGTCCTTGGATTATTGTGGAAAGCGAGACGGTATTTAATCAGTTTTAGAGGTTATTAAGAAGAGGAAAACAAAAAAACAATCGATCAAAATGTGTGAATTAAGCGGAATAATATGAAGCACATAATTTAATCCAGTTTGTAGCAGTTTGGTGGTTCGGTTATATTTAATTTAGAACCGTTTGCCTGATAGCAGCATTTTTAAAAAAAAAAAAAAAAAATATATATATATATATATATATATATATATATATATATATATATATATATATATATATATATATATATATATATATATATTCTCCACCAGCACCTTTATCTTTTATTTGTGGGTAAAAGTTTTCTTCATTTTCTACATTAATTGAAAAATCCCAGTTTTTTGTGCAGAGACATAATTCAGTTTGCTCTAAATGTTCTTTGTCTTTGTATATAAAATGTCTGTATGGAAGCATTGGTGCCTTGCAACGAGAAGGTCGTGAGTTTGACTCCCAGCCAGGAGTCTGTCTGCTCTCCATGTGCTCCCACTGGGTCTCTCTTGGTACTCCAGTTTCCTCCCAGTTAAAAAAACAACACAACAGCTTCATTAATTAGTCTATTCAAAATACTCTTAGGTGTGTGTGTATTGTTGTTTGTTTCTAAAATACAAGTACTTTGGTCCTGGTTGTTATCACACAGCTTTTCCTTTTTTTCCAGTAAATATTTACATCACTTTCCTCGTTTTTGTAACTTTGTGATTAGATTAAAAATATTTTCAAATCTTGTGAAGATCTGATTATTTTTTTTAATAAAACCTTATATATACAGCATGCTGTCTTTATTAGCATAGCTAATAATATACATCTGTAAGTCTTACTAACATTGTCTGCAAAGGAAATATCTGTAAATATGTTTGAGAAAGGGGCATAATCAAAGCATGCCACTTAATTTGTAAACAACATGTCTTGTTTACAAAAAAAGAAAAGAAAAAAATTAAACTTGTTAAATTTGTGTTTACAATGCACTTGTTTACCTGTAGAAATGACAGCTAGCAAACAACCAAACAGTTGAAGCCGCTGCATGTCACCATTGTGCTTCAGTGTATTCCCAAAGCATAAGTGTCTTTACAGTAATCTAAATTAAACAAGCACAACAATGACAAACAGTCCCAGATGGCCTTTGTACTATTTATAGGCCACAATATTTCTGGTATGTGCAAGTGAAGGTAAAGTAAAACTTAAATGTCCCTAAGGAGAGGTTTTGTCTCCAGACAGGAGTCACATCAGGTACAAACAACATGTCAAACAAAAAAAATAAAAGAATAAAGCACAAACAATGAGATATTTGATAACAAAATCCAATATTTAAAAACAGATCTGAGTATTTTACATGAGAAGTTGAAGGTGAAAGGTTAAGTTTTTCCAATCATTTCTGTTTTGTTGCAAATTAAAAGATTTTTAGTATTGATCTGCAAATCTTCTGACTTTTACCAAACTGTGTGTACAACTGAATGTAATTTGAACAAAAAAAGTTTAAAGATATTATTAAAAGACTGAGAAACATCTCTTAGTTAAAGAATATAAAACAAAAATAATAATGGGCCAAGTAATGAGCCTGGTGGAACTTCAGGGGTTAAAAACAAAATTTTAATAAGAAAAGTCTAAACAGGACGAACACCTGCCCAATCTGCAGCCAGAAAATGTAATTTTTCTTTGAGTTTTGTGAAAAAAAGCAAAATCAAGAGGTGTTTTTACAAATTAAAGGTGAAAGGTCATCGGTTTTTCCGATGGCTTTTTTCTGATTTACTGGACATTAAAATAATTGAATTAAGAATCTTCTACTTCTGCGGAGCTGATACGATTTAAGATAGATGTACAACTGAATGTGATACGAATATAAGTGCTTAAATGTGAAAATGTTAGAGAAGCATCAAAACAAAAATAATAATGGGCCAATTATTGAGGCCTGTGGAACTCCAGGGGTTAAAAATAGCTTTCACAGAAATGTACTTATCAAATTTTACTATGAAACGTCTAAAGAGGACGAACAATTCAGAGCCCGAAATGTCAGCCAGATGAACCAGTCAGTAAGAAAACAACGTACTCAGTGGTATTAAATGTCGGGTTAAGTGTCTTTTCTTAACATTTGAGGGATGTTAAAACTTAAAACTCAGGTCTTCTTGATGAAATTAGTTAACAAGCTGCTGTGATTTAGCAAATTTAAATCTCCTCCGTGACATTTCAGTGACCCCTCAAATCAAAGTCTCTCGTTAGATGAAACACGAACATAATTTCTGTCTCCCCGGTGTTAAGTAATGAATAAGAGCTGGGTGTGGGACTTGTTTCTCACAAACCCAACCTTACGGGTGAGGCTACATGATGTCATCCTCTCATATCAATAACAGCCTGGAAAACAATCTTCAGAAACTCCAGTCTCAATGGAGTGGACTTCCTCCAGCCCAGTACCAGCCCAGTCCGCCGCCCACTGCACAAGGACAGGACGTAACACTTTCGCAAACTGATTTACATCGAAATAAATAAAGGCCAAGACCAAACAATGTGCAGACCCAAAGGAGGAACCGGCGTCTCTCCGCTCAATCTATATCAGCCAATCCGGGCAAGCTGCAGGGCACGATAAGACGGGAGGGACCGCTGAGTCGAGGCATTGTGCTGTGGGTCGCCTCCTCTGGTTTGCTGGCACACTCTGAGGGGAACACAAAGAAACGGCAGCAGACCGAAAGGCAGATGAAGCAACAAGAAGTTATAAATACATGAGCGGAGACGAACAATCACCATTCTCAAATCAGGCATGGATTTGTCAGAAACGACTCTGAAGGTTCTGATGAAGATTGTTCTTCTGTTTGTTTGTTTTGTGAAAAAGTAACGTAAGCTTTCCTGAACTTTTCCACTTCGTCACCTTCCTGAAATAATGGCCTAAAGTCAGATTTTCCAAATATTACATAGACAAAAAGAAACAAAATAAAAATAAAAATAAATTAAATGTCTTTTGAAACAAAATAAGTTTTAGGCAATAATTTAAATTATTGTTTTAAATGAAGAAATGAAGAGCCCACTGCACTGAACCCGTTGAAAACCTCATGTGAACATCACCTACAAAGAGTTTTTTCCATGAGTTATCAGCCCTCAGTGAGAAACCGCGGCGCCCGTAACGTGCTAATCCCGTCCATGCGGGCGGCGGGTCCACAGCGGTCAGAACCAATTAGTGCTTCCACTCAGACGATGCAGCGCAGACATCCATGGGATTCATCCAACGCCAAACCTGGAGCCTCTAAGAGCCACTTTATCTGTATTTTTGTCTGTCCTCAAAGTTTCTATTTATTCAATAGTCTAAATTATTGTAACTTTAAAATGATTTTAAATGCTTTTAAAGTTAAAAACATAAAAATAAACAGTAGAAACTAATGTTTTTACATTTGCTCTGTAAAGATACTGTCAATTGTTTGTTTTTAGTATGTACTTTAAATGTTAGAACACTAAAGCTAAAACAATGATCTATAATTAAAGTATTTGTACTAATTTTAAAAATACATGTGTGAAACCTCAGAGTAGTAACTAGTTACATTTACTTGAGTAACGTTTTGCAAAAAATTTACTTTTACTGCGTTGTAGTAACTTTATTATGAAGTATCGCTTCTCTTTCTTGAGTACAATTTCTGGATACTCTACCCCAGGGGTGTCCAAAATGCGGCCCGGGGGCCATTTGTGGCCCTTGGACTGAGTTTGTGTGGCCCCCAACAGTTTGAAGAAACCAACCAATCACAGACAGGAGGCGGGTCTTAGCGCTGTCAATCAATCTCATGAACATGCTGTTAAATATGCTAATGGCGGAGAAACAATTTACATTAAAGAGAATGGTTTATCTCCCGTCATCAGTGGCCATGCTAACTAGCTTTAGCATTCACAACAGGATCTGCTGATGAGGAAAAGCAGCATACACATGAGCATGATTGACAGCGATAAAACTCTTCTGGTTCTGATTCACTGTTTCTAATTAGGAAGACAGAGAGAGAGAAGACAGAGGAGTTTGATTTTTTTCACAGATTATCTCAAGACAGTGACACTTTCAACAAAAATATTAAAATATACATATTTTTAATAAAAGTTACATACTGCAGCTTTAAATGAGGTTTTTCTACTAAATAGAAGAAATTTACCACAAAATATTTTGGAATTTCCTCAGTTTACAGAAAATTCCAGCTTAATACTTCAAGTGTAAGGATGATCAAGCATGCAGTATTTCCCTACATCACCAAATTTGACAATGACCCAATCTGAATCTTCTGATCCCAGAACACAATAGTGCCGTAAAACCCATACAGCTAGTTTTAGAGGTGAAAACGCCTGCCGTGGTCTATCCATAGCAAAGTTTATCAGTCAGGGTCAAGCAGGGATTTAGGCCTGTGCTTTGGGGAATGCACTTAACCAAGGTGGCAGCTGCGTCTCTGTTAGCAGGCCCAGGGTGTGGGTCAAGGTGGCCGCTTTCCGCCCACCCAGCAGTCTGGACGCTCAGCCGCCTTGGGTCTTGTCCAGGAGATGCTCCTAAGTCCTAAATCCCACCACCAGCGCTTGGACTTCAAAATAGCACCCCACATCTACAGGGTGCTTGATAAGATCGCACAGATATGTGCACTTTGTATCTTTGAGGTGTGTTGGGAGGTGATTGAGAAGCCGACATAGGCTATGCTCACACTGCAGCCTGAAGTGACCCAAATCCAATTTTTTGTGAAATCAGATTTTTTTTGCGTGGTCGCTCACACTTCCAAAAAATTAGGAGACGACTTAAAATGCTCAGTTTCTCTTATTTTACTTTTCATAAGTGTATGTTTGAGTAAAATGAACATTGTTCTTTTATTCTATGAACTACTGACATGTCTCCAAAATTACAAGCAAACATTTAGTATTTATTTGCAGAAAATGAGAAATGGTCAAAATTAGGAAAAAGATGCAGAGCTTTCAGACTTAAAATAATGCTAAGGCAACAAGTT